CTGCCACGCCGCCAGAGCATGATTTTTGTTCTCATCCTGAAGCAAAGTTCTTAACCTGAAGCACTATTTCTGGGTTAGCGGAGTCTGTAACCTGAAGCATATGTAACCTGAAGCGTATGTAACCTGAGGTACCACTGTACTTGGCTGGAGAAGTGCATTGCAAAAGTATGAATTTTGAGGGATGGCTATTTCAGATTTGAATTTCTCATCGATCCCCAACTAGGCACCTTGACTTCTGTGGCGACTGAATTTGCTGCTCCACCTCAAGGAGCAAAATGTCTTGGAACAGCCCTATTGACCAAGCTCATTTTTTATCCTAAGAACATGAGCCTTTCAGCATCACACCATTTAGTTTGTTATGCTGTTTTTCACATTAGCATACCAGATGCATCCGAGAAGCCCAGGAGCAGGAAATGAAAGCAGCGTGCGTGAATGCACAAACGCACAAACACCTCATCTCAAGTACCTCATGACCAGTAGCATGTTAGGTTCTGTTTAATCATCATGGCTTACAGCTGTCAATATGGTGTGCTCACAGAAACACCCAAAGAACCTTTCAAAAGTAGCTTCAGGTATTTATGAGGCAGCACATGTGCCATTTGAGCCTGATATGGACCTGATTTTGCTATGTCTAAAAGGGTCAGCCACCAATTCAGAATAATTGTCATGTCTCATAGTTTCTATAGTTTATCTCAAATTATGAGAGAAGGTGGCTCCATGGATCAGGAGAACGAGAGAGAGAGAGAGAGAGAGAGAGAGAGAGAGCGTACAGCAGCAAGGGCAATTTCTTTGTATTGGGTCCAGTAAATGCCACACCCCACTGAAAACTTTTGGAAATATTTATTTCATATGTTTTCCTACTAATCCCCAATAAGCAATCACTGCATCCAGCATTTCAAATATTAGCCATCTTCCGCCTTCCCTCCCTTCATGCCTTCTTCCCACCTAGAGTAGGCATATATATTTCCTAGGGTGTCATCCCTCATTATGTTGAACATAAAACAGTTGGAGCAGACTGATATGGCCAAAATCCACAGTGCCATCCTTTTTCATCAATGAACCCTGCTGGCAAGACATGTTTTGATGTCTGTGTACTTTAATAAGAGCCCAGGCTCCTTCTGTGTTACTGTTCACAGCATTATGCTAATACTGAGGAAATAATATTTCCATCATGAAGGTTTGCACTGCCATGAGCTAAAGTTCTGCCCAATGAGTGAACAATGGCAACTAATCAACTGAATGAAGGGCAACACAATGGAATGTTCCGACACCTGTAGACCTGATGGGTCAGGGGCCGATGGCCTGATGCAGCAGCCATGTGCAAGGTAGGCAAGAGACTGCCTGGGAACCCCGCACACACTGCCTTGAGTTCCATCACTCATTTATTTGCCAAAAAAAGCTACTAGGCCACCAGCATTAAGGGAAAAAATCACAACGGCATACCTTCCAACTTTTTCCCATACAAAACTAGGGCACACATCTTCTGGATCATGCTCCCAGGCAAGTCACATGACCCACACCTTGCTCTGCCCTGAAAAGAATGAGCTTTTTCAGGGCAAGAGCACAGCACAAGAGCACACAAGATGGCCACCGAGATCTCACAAGAAAAAAGGGATGCCCCATCTTTTCCAGGGCACTTGAAAGACATGCATTCAGTAGTGAACAGCATAAAATGAACAGTAAAATTAAATTAATAAAACAAGTGTAAAATGCTTCACAACTCAGATTAGATGAATACATCAATGTAGCTGGATCACCCTCAGGGCAAACCTGGGTGAACAGACGTGTTTTAAGAAGGAGCCTAAGTACTGCTAGGATTGGGTACTGCCACACCAAAGGCCCTCTTTATAATGGATGTAAGTTAAACCTTGAGAACATGTGGCACTACTAAGAACATCTCTCCCAAGAACTGAGTGACTGGGTAAGGATATACATGGTAAGGCATTCTGAAGGTAAACTGGACCCATCAGTTTACACATCAATAGCAAAGCCTTAAAATGTGTCCATCATCATATAGGCAGCCAACACAGCTCTTTCAGCCTAGGTGCTATGCACTGTCAATAATGCACACCCATCAACATCTCACAGTAGCATTCCAAATCAACCATAAGGTTGCAGTAATCCAATCTGGAGGTTACCAATGCCTGAACTACAGCAGCGAAACTATCAGAATTCAGGAATTGCTGGAGCTGTCGCTCTAGCTGATACAGAAGAAGGATGGATATAAATGAAATGGACAGATTGACAAGATATAGAGTGATATATGACACCACCACCGTGAAACCACTTCTGACTGCTTTGACAGTGCTACCTCTATGGCAGTGGAGATGGGACGGGGTTAGGGCAGTGCAAACCCCACATGTCAAGTTACACATTGCGCCCAAGAGAAAGCTTTAATAGCAATATGGCTTCATTTGCACTGCACCCGATTCCCTCACCGTATTCTCCATTGGAATGTCCAGGTTTAAGTGTCAGCAAAACTATCAGGTTTCACAAATGTCCTAAACCCAAGCTACTAATTACAAGTGCCAGGATGTTGAAGCACCCTTGAATCTCTTCATCTTCATATTCACATGGCAGCACTTCCTAACCTCAAATAAGAATCCCTGGGATGAGACTTTCAAAACGATAATCATTTTGTCAGGTGGGGAGCACTGCTATTTTCATGCGAAAGTACAACGTACTTTAAATGGCATTTGGTCTTCAACTTGCTTCCTCCATAATCTCACAGGAACTTCAACAAAGTGTCAGGTGTTTCTGTCAGAGGTGAATGCGGCCACAGGACTTCAAAGTATAGGTTTGCTTTTCACATGATTGAGAACTGGGCTTAAGTCCCCTGAAAAGAAGCCCATTAATTTGAAGAGGCTGAGTCAGGCTTCAAATGCTCCTTTAAGCCTGTTATAGGAAGCATACCATAACACACTCTCTCTCACACATACACATATTTCCCCCCTTTTCTGTGCTTCATATAGGTACATTTCAGTAGTTCCTACTTTTCCTGCCCTAGCTACATTCATACAGATAAGGTATTTGCATCCTTTGTTAAAGCTGTAAAACGTGGAAATGTTTACATGGCTTTCATCCCCCGTCAAAATCTATAACAATACTTTATTTACTATCCACTGACCAGAGATAAAAGTTACAGAATTTTTTAAAAAGAGGAGGAAAGAAAAACAGACAGCAATCATATTGTCTAAGTGAAATTGCAACATTTGGAAATGTTGCAACTTACTTGGTCATTTAAAAAGACCTGAACCCTTCCGGTAAATATTTGTGGCTCTATTTTTCTGTTGAACATGCTGCCACCATCCATACTACATTTACAAGTAATCTCATTGGTTTTTAGAGTGTCACTGCCCTACTGCCAGAAGTTATCCTGAGGTCCCACAGCACCAGCAACTTCATGGTCATACAAAAGTCGATCAACTGGAGGCCTGGAGCATCCTTTAGAAATTTAATGTGAGGCAATGTGAGGCATCAGCTAACCAGAAATCCAGACGGCGTACCTCATTTTACTGTGTAACAGAAATGATGTAAAGAAGCCTCTCCTACAACAGCGAACTGGGCAAACTGCCTATTGAGTAGCCTTCACAGTCATCCTAGATAATTTAGTAGCGAGAGCGATTTGGCAGACTCCATTGAGATGCTCGCTGACTGTGGGGGAGGAGAACCACAAAAGCACCCGTAGATAGATAGATCGTAGGTTTCATTGGCAAGGTAAAGCCCACAGCTTGAAATATGGGAAATAAATTGTGCCAGGGAAGTGACTGTGGAGCAAGCTTTGCATAAAGTCAACTGCGGCAGGTTGAGGAAGAACAATGAAAGAAAGGGAAATCACGGGCCCTAAATAACAGCAATTACTCTTAAGAGCACCAACTACAGTGTTGCTGTTTTTTTATCTCTGTCACGTCCATGCAAGGAGAGGTGTCTTAAAATACAAATCCAAGATAGGAGTGGATTCTCTGACAGTGGTTTAAGTTTGATTCACTAATAGCTATTGAGCCCATAAGAATTATCATAAGGAACTCCTATGGCAGTCTAGTAAATGGAATAAGCTCCATAGGGAAGTTAGGATAACTCCTCCTTGGTAAGTTTCCAAAGAAGGATTTACAAGAAATCTATCTGGAATGCCTTTTGTACTGATACTCTCTCTTGAGGGTTAGACTAGATGAACCACTGAGTTCCCTCCCATCTACGTTCTGTCTCCATGGGCAGAGGCAGTGAGGCTTCTGGAAACCACTTGCTGGAAACCATGGAGGGTGCTCTTGTGCTCGGTTCCTGCTTACCACAGATATCTGGACTAGGAGAACCATTCATTTAGACTATTCCAGCAGGCTCCTTACCTCTGTATGAGTCTCAACCATTTCCTTGCTATTAGATGCATAGACCAGCTAAAAGAACTCTCATGAGATACTTCTGGTCCCTGGGAAACCTCCCATTTGCTCCCTACTTTAGCTTAATCGCCTTGCCTTTGTGCTGAAGCAATTCATAGTCTTCTCTTCTTTCATGGTAGTAACATTTCTGATCTCTCACAGTTTGGCATTCCTGATATCTTAATTTACACAAATTCTCTCTTTCTCCACCACCTCCCTCCTCCAACTGCTACGAAGAAGTACAAACGTTGCAGAGTTCTTCTGCCACTCTCTCTGTCAAATTATTCCATTTCTGATCTCTTTGTACAGGTTGCCAATTTCCTCCCCATTCTTTGGCACAGAATTGACAAGAAGCACAGCAGAGATGACAAGGAGAGGCGCAGGGATCATGCCTGAGTGGTGTGAAATTGACAAGTGGCAGGGGAACAAGTGTTAGTGACCAAGGTTTTCACCTCAAGATCCGATTTCACTTTTAATGGTCTGTCTGTGAGAAAGAATCTGAATAAGCAGGTATTTTTCATTTCTGTCTTTTGTACCTGTATACAATAGGCATGCGAGCAAAGACACCACTGCTAAGGCTTCATTGAAATTGTTCACTGAGTTTTTCTCACTTTTGCTGTCCAAGTTCAGAACACACACACACACACACACACACACACACACACACACTGTTCTCAGGTTTTAATTGAATAGCTTCTAATGCATGAAAAGGTTCTCCAAACACTGATATTATCCCTTTAGAAATTTTGCCTCATTTCCTCATATTTTTAGGATGAATTCTTTCCTCCCAAATAATCATGTTTCCCAATTTAGCGCTAAAGCCTGGAACAGACTTTCTTTTCTCCTAGCACAGAAAATGAACAAATGACCAAAATAGCTTACGCAGTCCTCCCAAGCCTGCTGGTAGCTCCTGCCAAGTCTCCCCATCTACTAACTGCCATGCTAATGAACTGAAAAGGATAGCAACAGCTTCCTACCCCGTATTAATGCCCCAGGGTTGTTTCTGTTTTTGCTTTTGCCTGTGGGACATTAATGTTTCCCGGTTCATTTCCCTGGGACTCCCAAGGTGCGGTGTTCTCAGATGATGAGAGCATCAATATACCAGCACCTCTCAAAACCGTTATTAGGAAGTGAATCTACAACTGCATCAATGGCTATGGGATTGCATCTGCTACCCACATGTCATGCTAACCTCAAAGCAGTAAGTACTAGAAGGTAGTTTTGTATGCAAGTTGATGAACTAAGAGGCAGATATTGGACCACCATGTCCTACAGTCATAGGAAGCAGACAATAATGCAATGAATGAAAGAACTTGTAAGCAATGAGTTTGCTGCCATTGCTGTATTTATATAGTGCTTTTCCTAAGGGGTTTGGCTTGGGGAGACTGGGAGAGTCAAGATTTGGAAAAGCCTGTGGGTTATTGGTTGGACATATGCATGCAAAACATCCCAGCTTCAACCCCTGGGGTCTCTAGGAAGGGCTGGAATAAAAGTCCTTTTCAAAATGCTAAACAATCACAGACAGTCTGTGTAGACGGAAAAAACTGAATGGAGTTGATTTGCGGGGCCCAGGGAGGTGGGGGGAGGTGCAGAGACACTTCTTTTCAGTTGATGTAAAACCATCCCGTGATGCTATATAGGGGAGTTTTAGATCAGCACTGTGAGACGCCAGCTGATGCAGCCCAGAACTGGAAGAAGCAGACACTACTTACAAAAACATTTCTCAAACAGAAGCCCTATGCCTCTGGAGCCTCAAATTTCAGAAGCCCCCTGTGCAATGCCAAAATTCTCCACCCTCTCATGCTCCATTCTAAATAACAGTTGCAGCATCCTCGACAGCACCCCCAAGGCTCCACACCCAGTGCAACTGAACTGGTTGTGGTCCCCTAAATCTGCCTCTGATGACCATTCCTGCTCATCACTTTGGAGGAAGTAAAGGTAAAGGGACCCCGACCATTAGGTCCAGTCGTGACCGACTCTGGGGTTGCGGCGCTCATCTCGCTTTATTGGCCGAGGGAGCCGGCGTACAGCTTCTGGGTCATGTGGCCAGCATGACTAAGCCGCTTCTGGCGAACCAGAGCAGTGCACGGAAACACTGTTTACCTTCCCGCCGGAGCGGTACCTATTTATCTACTTGCATTTTGACGTGCTTTCGAACTGCTAGGTTGGCAGGAGCAGGGACTGAGCAACGGGAGCTCACTCCGCTGGGGGAATTCGAACTGCCGACCTTCTGATCGGCAAGTCCTAGGCTCTGTGGTTTAACCCACAGCGCCATCCGCGTCCCTTTTCGGAGGAAGTAGAAGCTCTCTATTTAAGCACCTGCCTTAGAAGATTTAGCTCTTCCAAATCTACCAGCAGCTCTAGCCTGGGTCAAGAGACTTTTCGCAATGCTAATGTAAACTGAAAGTGCTCGATGGATAATTGACTTTAATCATTCACACTTTGAAATGTATGAATTCAAACTCGTCGGCAAATAGTTTTACAGAGTATGAAGTTGGTGAATGGACCGCAGGCTAAATTGAATCTAGCCTAATCTGAAGTGAAACTATCCAAATTACTTCCTGCCTGCCTGCTATCCCACCCTTTGAGCACCAGTCCCATTATATGTTGTTATTCAACTCATGTCAAATTTTTTGAGTCCAGTTATGAAATCTGATGGAGACAGGATCAGGTATGGGGGAGAAATTTGTCCTGTTTGTTACAAAATCCACACATCCTGAACCAATATGAAACCTGAAATGCAGCTATTATTTGAAGTTTGCTCCTCTGCGTTTTGTGGTGATGTTCTTCAACCAGACACGAGTACAAAAAAATGCATATAAGGAGAAAGGGCAGGGGTAAGTGCATATAAAAAGGTGAGTAGTGAAAATACCATTATATATGTGGGGAAGACTAGCAAATAGGTGTATAGCAGGCAAAATTATGTACCAAAATGCATATATTAGGATAAATGCATACAAAAATGCATATGAATTTTCACGCTTTTTAAAAGTAGATCACAAATTGGTGCAGAAATGGAGCAAACTGAACTTAAGGTTGCAAAAATGAGAAACAGAAAAAAACAAAATAGATTCATCAATCTCTATCAGCACACAGAACTTTCTATTTTTACGGTACAGTAGTTGTTTAATTCCTCAGTTTATTCCTATTTCTGTGTATATTGGGGGAAAGCACAACTATGTGTGTGTTTATTTATTTATTTATTTATTTAAGTTTATGCTTTATTATGCACGTTGACAAAAAAATAAAAAGAAAAACCATACATTTGCATCATCATTTGTTTATTTTGTTAATACAAAATAAACAAAAAAGTAAATTCTTATGTTTTGTCAATAAATCTTCTCTTTTTTTTATGGTGTCTCCACTTTTAATTCACAGTCTTTTTCTTTCTTTTTTTTTAAAATGATATTTTTTCAAAATTTCATCAATACATAGACACAAAAAGAAAAACAAGAAACACAGAGGAAAAAAAGGGAAAAAAAGAAAAATATACAGCAAAAAATAAAACAAAAGGAAAAAACCCAAAAAAGAGAAAAGAAAAATACAAATCTCAGATTGCAACTTTTCATTTGCTTAATTCTTGAACCTCCTCACACCTCCCTTTTGGTATTCTAGTTTAATTCATTATTTCAGCAAATTCTTCCCATGTTTCTCAATTTTAATTTTAATGATTAATCTTCACAATCTCTCTTATTTATTAATCAAGATAACCTTTCCATCTTTTAATATAGTCTGTTATTCAATTTACCTTAATCTCTTTAACCTTATCTTATCTTAAGAATCTTAAAAGTTCAAGATTTACATCATATTCATACATATCTCCTTAAAATCATTTCTACTAAAGCCAATTTAATTCCTTTCCAGCATATTCCCTCAAATTTCATTAATGTTGCACTAATTCCAAAATTAACAAAAGAATTTCCCTTGATATCTCTAATTTTTATCCAACGTCCCTTCTTCCTGGTTTCGGGTCATGTCAGTCCTTTCTGTCCATTACATCCAGTCCATCAATCAGGTGTTCTAATGTCCGAGTCCCTTAAATCTCTTCTAGGCCCCTTCTGCAAATTTTTTTGTTCCTGTTTGTGCTTGCGCACTTCTTTGTCAATTGTTGGTTTCTTGGGGAGTGGGTCTCCGGAGGGTTCCATCCGGTAATAGTTTCCATTTTCCTTCATCAGGTTGGCCCCTTCCCCCCAGTCCCACTCCCCGTCTTCATCTTTGTAATCCAAAGAATATTTATCCAGAAGATAGTTGTTCACCTGTTTCATAGTCCCACTAGAGTTAAAAGCTTCCTTGACTTCAAATACTTCCCGGCAGTCTCCAAGTTCAATCTTCCAACGCAGTAGCTTTTGTTCCTGCAGGACTTTGGGTCTTTCCATTTGTGTTGTTTGAGGAGTAATCACTGCCTCTTCTTTCTCCATCTGCCCTCGGACTTGCCTTGTCAAACCAGGTTCCTGAATTGATCGCTGTATAACTTCTTTATCCTTATTCCCTGTTAAATCATATTCACTGGCCACAGCACTCATCAGGTCCAATTTTTCATGCATCAAGTTCATTTTCTCATGCAGCTGCTCCAGCAAAGCATTAGTCATGCCAAGGGCAGACACCAAACCTTCCTGCCAACACATTTCTGTTCAAGGTCAAGGTCAAACGGCTGGTCCCACAATCCAAATCTCACATCTGCAGAGTCTCCAAGTAAGCTGCAACAACAAACTGACGGGCTCCCACTAGGGGACACAATTTCTATTTGTATCCATTTTTAAAATATATCCAACAAAGGAGATTACTTTCGATTTCAATTCCTTTCGATTTCAAATACTTTGTTTCTTTAAAAATCAGAAATGCAGAAAGTAGCGTTGAAGTTAATTTGTTTCTCTTTTTCTTTTTTTAACTATCTGTCAAAGTGCTCCACTTTCAATCAATGGACGTCTCAGACAGTTTCTGTCCCAACACCCCGTCCCCAGGTTTGGGACGATGGAAACTTAAATAAATATAAATCTTCTCAAAGTACATCCAACTTCCCATCTTCTCCGTATTTCTTTCAGTATTTACAATGTTTTTGCATAAATCTATATGTTCATTTTACAATAAAGTATTACTCTTCTGTGTCTTTATTTCTTATTTAATACCACTGCAGACGTTATTCGAAGGCAGCGACCGAGTTCATACTGCAACAGTTATTTTTAAGAGATGTTTTGAAAACTTCCCATTTTGCAATAAATATTTATTTTTACTTGCCTTTCATTTTTTCAGATAGTTGGGCCAGCTCTGCATACTCAGCTAGTTTTTGTAACCATTTTGAAGTGGAAGGAATTTTATCACTTTTCCAGTTAGTCGTTATTAAGAGTCTCGCTGTGACTAAGGCGTATAAAAAATCTTATTTTGCATTTTTAGGAATATCTGGTCCTGTAATTCCAAGTAGAAAGGCTTCGGGGGGCGTGTTTAAATGAGACCCTGAACATTTTCTTAAGTTCACCATAAATGTCATCCCAGAAGATCTTAATTTTTTTACATAACCACCACATATGAAACATGGTACCAATTTCTACTCCACATCTCCAGCAAGTATTAGGTATATTTTTATACAATTTTGAAATCTTCCATGGGGTCAAATACCAGTGGTATTGCATTTTTTGAAAGTTGGGAAAGCACAACTATGTCAAAGTGTTCCAAAATAGGGTTATTTTTGGACATCATTGAGGACAATCATACCGTCAATAGTGATCACAAGGTCCTGAACTATATTTATTGAACCTTTAAAAA